TACCGTTTTATCTCTATAAAATTCATGCCTGAAATCTTCACATCCAAATAAATCAGGGGTAAAACATCCTTTAAAGAAGGTTTATTGACATAATTGAATAGAGATGTGTAACTAGCATTGATGCTGTTGCTTGTATATATATGCTGTGATGTTATATTGAAGAAGCAGAAGAAGATAGATGACGTCTTGTTGAAAACATTACTGCCAGATAAGACTTACTGTGCTCTGAAAAGGCAAATCAGTAATATAAATAAAAGCGTTCAATGGTCAAACAAAGCAGAAAGGCTTGTAGGATAGTGAAAATAAATAAAATACTCTTGCTTTTCATCATTTCCTAATCATTTTGTAGCCCTGCTTTGCAACACTGGAAATGCCCACCTCACGTTGGCCACAGTGAAATGGGATGTCAGCGCAGTACCCTGTCTTACCAGATACTAAGCGTGAAGTTTTCATTTCCAAATCAGTCATTCCTCCCGCATGGTTTTGCTATGGTCATGGCATGATACCTACTCAGTTATGGTTGCTGGGCCGGTTAGTGAAGTGTGGTTACTACAGCAGCTGCTAAAGTTCTTTCTGGGCTTGTACCCTGCAGACAAGGGAAATGGAGATATAGCAGCAGCTGCCCCACAAAGATGCTGAAAACTTGGGAAAAAGGAGTAAGAAACTGTTTTTCTAAGCAAGAAAGATGGAGACAAATATAACACTTCCACAGTTTGTTTTACTTAAAATTTATTTTAAATTGGGTGAGGCAGCCTAGGCAGTGGGTGCTTCACTGGATAGTCATAGATTTTCTACAGAAAAGATGGCCTTGCCTTAAAACGCTTCTACTCTAGCTGTTGAGAGCTGAAGAATTTTAATTCATTTAAGAGAGTTGTCCACACTTTTAGGTTCATCTATGGTCCTATTCCATACATTGGGCTAGAGCTTTCAGAAACAGGAGTACACTTAGGAAAGGACAGAAGCTTTAGTAGAAAATCCAGTGGTAGTTGAAGTCTCACTGAAACGCATTTTTTAACTTCTTATGCTCACAGATACCGAGTTATAACTGCAACATCAGCAGTGAGGGGACACCAGTGGCGTACCAGCATCAATGTCACAGAACAGAACAGAAGGACATCCTCACCAGCACTAGTTTAGCAGAGGGGGGCTAAGTTCAATGAGATTGCTCTCTGGTGAACAGCAGTGGTGATCACAGAGGAGTGACTTCAGGTGCTCTGATATGATCTCTGGAAAAGCCTTTCCAGAGGCTTTTGGAGCCATGTAGGGGGTGCAGAGAGATTCACCTCCTTGGGGTTGACTTTTGCAGCCCATCTCCCTGGTTTCGGGAATGGTTCTTTTCTGGATTAATACCAGTGCCTTCTATCAGTGTGACTACAGTGACATTAAAGCTTGAATAATTCTCCATCTGCCGTCAGTAGTACTTTTCTAATTAATATGTTTAATCATTAATGTTCTAAGGAATATATTACAATATTAGGTGTTTAAATATTATTCCAAACTATGCTTTAAAAAAGCCAAGTTTACAGCAATTTAGTAAGATAGCTGCAATGAGGAAGTAAATTTATGTTGTCCTGTACTGATGTTGTTCCATGCTAGGCAGCTTGTACTTAGAAAATAGAAAACAAAATTTGGCATCATAAATGGATTAATTGATGTTAGTTTAATGGTGATGACGACAGTTACAATGGTGATAATTTTATTAAAAGATACTTTGTAGAAAGTGGTCAAACTTTGACTGAGTTTTGCAGGCATGTGCAAAAGCTGTTAATTGACGCTATGGTATTTTATTATTCTCATTATGCTCTCTCACTAAGTAAAACCAGTCTAATTGTTACAGATTATAAGCACTTAACAGAAATGAGTTTGAGTGCTACTACTATTACTGTTACACTGCAATCTGGAGTTTTTACACAGGCAAAATTCCGTGCCCTAGTAAGGACTAAGGGCCACCTCAGCTTGGGACGCCTAGTGTTAGTTAATTCCTTACTCCTAAACATTGAGGACATTTCCCAGGAGCTCTGATCAAATCCAAAGGCATTTTGTTATCAAACAACTTGGATCCTAGTTAATTTTTATGCTTATTCACGATCTTAACTAAACAGCTAAATCTTAAACTAAGTTGTCTGTGTGTCTCATTTGAGAGATATTAATACGTTGTTATTCTGGGGTACAGTTAAGATTCCTTGCACGTTTCCATGCTGGCTGCTGCTTTTGTTTTTTGGTAAAACACAGCTGGAGGAGAAGGTACCTTTTCTAAGGTAGATTAAAGGTTAAATCATTCACTGAAAGCCTCTCCCAAATTCTAGCTTCGTTTCCAAATGTGCTGGGTCAAAATGTGTGCCCTCCCAGTAAAAATATTTGTGGAAATTTAGTTGCACACAGTAATATTAAACCCAGTATATTTTGAAGAAAGGCTACTGAAACAAATGGCTTGTAGTAATGAATTATTAAGAAACATTGTAAGGAATGTAACAATTTTCAGATTGCTACTACGTATTACTTAGAAGTTTGGACTCCTCTTTTTGTTTAGAGCATGTCCACGTGTCCCCCTTCAAATGCCCACTTCATGTACTCCAGGTGGAAGTAACTGCTACTAATAAAAGTGCTGTAGCTCAGCTGCTTGCTAAAGTAAGCCACTAGGAACACACAACTTTGTCTTTCCCAATAAATACGGAGTTTGGTTTCTCACTGCTGTGCTGATGTTTAAAACTCTGAAAAGCGTGGCTCAGCTATCTCTGAGAATGCTTGTCCTTCCATGGTGACTCACTTTACTGGGGTCATGAAGCAGTTTTGTCAGAAGAAAGAGCTTTTCCTGCAGTTCATCTGCCTGACACAAGACAGTCCTTGCCACGTCAGTGGAAGTGAGCCCTGCTCTCACATTCTTCTGAGCTAGATGGAAACCCGGTCCCTTGAGCCTTCAGTAACTCTCAGGAAAAAAAGCTACACAGTCAATGAATTAAATCCCCCAAATCTTGTCCTTCTGACAGGACCAGAAGTGGAAGAGATTTCTGCACTCGCATTTTAGGAAGAGCACTGAGAGAACAGTGTTAAATTTATACAACCTGATGCATGTTGTTTGCTAACCCTGTTCGCTTTTTCCCTGTCCGACTGCATCAAACAATTAAAACCACTAAACACTGAGATCCTACAGTCAATTCTATGCAAATGAACTGATGGACTTGAATGGAGTCAGCTATGAGCAGTTGTATGAATGAAACAGTCTCAGACACAGTTTTTCTAGGAAAAGGGGATATTCTGAGAATGATCTTTTTTTTTCCTTGTCAGGTTTTGCTGTTAATTTTGAGATTCCATAAATTAAGGGAGTTAGTGTTCCAAGTGCTAGTGTAGTTTGGGTAGGGATCTTGTACAAACGGCTTTTAAATCTGTTTGCAGGCTGCACCTCCTAATCTTCTTAAAAGGATTTTGACAACAGTTAATGCTTATTAGTACCTGTCAGCTAGTGCACAGTTGAAAAACAGGAATGGATGAAAATCTTACTTGAAATATTTCAAAAGGGATTGTTGTAGTTGATTGTGGTTTGAAGTGGTAAGAGGATGTCACTGTGATGTAGAAGCAACTCTCTACACCAGAGAGTTATTATTCTCAATGTAGTTAATAAGGGTAAGTTGGAGTATAAATGAGGATAGAGATTTAATCCCCCCTAGACTTAATTTAATAAGAAAGATGAGAGGCAGAGATCCAATATGAGTAGGATCCAGGCTTCTTCCCTGAGACAAAGATTTGGATCCCTTAAGTCTTTGATTCCAAAGAGGAATCTTTAAAAAAAAATCCTGTTGGAAGGAGTGCTTACACTGTGGGTGTAACAATAAGATGCTAAAGATATGTAGTTGTGAACTTAGTCTTGGTTCATTGTAAGCTACCTGACTTCTGTTCATTTAGAAGCTCATCCACTGGCTAAAAGATTTTTGTCAGTAAAATTAATTAGCAGCATTTGAGTGAGTGATAGGTCTAATGATCACAGACAGTTGTCTATCTTTCTGGTACCCCTTTATACATAAATTATTTCTGCATCTGATCCAGCATAATCTCCTAGGAACATTCTATGTTTCTTTCTGTGTGTAGTGGTAGGCATTTGGTCTGTTATGAAAGATTCTTTCTAATGCTATCAGTTAGTGGTTGGCTTATCTGCTGATTCATAACGTTTGATAACAACATTTAAAATGTATGTTATGGAGCTAATTCACTTTAGTTTCATAAATATGTAGTAGTTTTCTGAACTTGCTGAACTGCTGGTCCACATGCTACTTTGTTGGAGGGAGTTGTAGAATTTTATTTTTCTTGAAATCTTGTTTTTTTAAAGGTGTTACTGTCATAGATTTCAAATATTTTAAATATTTGGATTAAAACTCTTTACCCTTACCAATGAAGAGTTAGGATCCTTGCTTGCATATTTAATTTGTCCAACATTAAGAGACAGGAAAGACATGAAAGAGAATGGACTTATTAAAGTCGTCTTTCTTGCTTGCAAGTGAGAAGAGAAAACAGAACACTCACATTAGTTTGTATCCAGTAAAGTGGGGAAGAGAGATGCAGATACAGGCGTTACTGCTGATATCTAAAGCTTTTCTTTTAGCTGGGTAGAGAACTTCTATTTTGAGCACTGATTCCACAGACCTCTTGTATGTTTGGACAGCTGTTTGTTTGTGTTCCCTTACAAACTTAAAACTATATGTCATTCTAAGCTCTTTAGGATAAGGACTGTATCATCATATGTATTTCTACAGTAATTGCTACAGCAGGACTTTGGTGCTAAATAGGGCTTCTGGACACTGCCTGTGTTGAAATAATCTTGCTTATGTTGATAACGGACAATTGTTAGGATGTTTTGGAAGGGTTTCATTATGTACCTGTGAAATGCATTTTAATTGGTTTATATTATAATGTGACGTTTAATGCAAACATCTGTAAGTTTGGTGCATGCGGGTGGGGATGTTTCTCTGATAAAGCCCTTGAGAATTTTGTCCTTTGTTTTCTTGCAGACCTTTAGAACGTTCCAGTGAAGATGTAGATATAATATTCACTCGACTGAAAGAAGTGAAAGCTTTTGAGAAATTTCATCCAAACCTCCTCCAGCAGATATGTCTCTGTGGATATTATGAAAATCTGGAAAAAGGAATCACATGTAAGAGAGCTTCATATAATGACCTATCTTATGTAGATAAAATTGGGGGTTAAGCTGGGACTGTCTCTAGGAGATGGATGAAAGAGCACAATCAGTGGAATGGCCATAAAAATGTTTACAGTCATAGTCATGGGGGAAGGCACGACTAAAGTGCTGCTTGCTCTACAAATACAGTGTGTAGTGAATCTATGGTAACAAGGCACGCATTATTGGATTTAGGACTGTGCCACTGTTTTGTTGAAAGGTTAGAAGCAAGTCATTGCACTTAAGCCTCATTCTTCCCCTGTAAATGTATTATTGATCTCTTTTGTAGGTGCTTTGTCATGTCAGGGGCAAAAGTGTATCACCTAACCATATCACTAATAGCGTGTGGTTTACAGTCACTCTGGATAACACAAGACAGATTTGCAAAGCTGCATACTGCTGTGGGGTGCAACAGCTCTGTGCCTGCTCTGGCAGCCCATGTGTCAGATGAAGGTGGACAGCTGTGCTTGGTCTATGAAACTGAGATGGAAATAAGTAGTGGTCCTGTGATGGGAATGTGTGAGTTTCCAGAGCTGTACCAGGGGAATAGCTGATGGAGACCTGTGCTGTTTGGTAGAGTCTCAGGTACCCTTCAGGTAAATCTGGAATGCTTTAGGCACACAGCACTGGGGTTTGCTTAGAGTAAGAGGAATTCTGATGCTCTGTAATCACAGTTGGAATCCCTGAACATCAAAGTCCTGCAGTTGCTTCTCAGCCAGAACTCTTACTGAAGTCAGTGGGAGATGTGTCTGCGTTGGAAGACTCTGCATTTCAAAGGGACATTGTTCAGAAAGTCGTTGGAAGACTCTGCATTTCAAAGGGACATTGTTCAGAAAGTCTTTTTTGTTTTGTTTTGTTTTGTTTATTACCTAATATAGCAGTACAAGAGAAGCAAACTGGGGAGAAGAGTGAAGCAATTCTATGTGCTTTCATTGCTTTTGTAGTGTATTGACCAGTTCACTAAAATGTGTGCTTTCCAGTATCATTGGAAATATTATTGTAATAGTACGTAAGTAGCCTGATATGGCAAATTCTATAGTGCCAGCAGTGACTACAGTAGTAGAGTAATACAAGGAAAAATGTTTGTTAATGTTGCTAAACTTAAAGAGATAGCTCTTATTTACAAGATTTCATCTTTCCAGTATTCCGTCAGGGTGATATTGGGACGAACTGGTATGCTGTTCTGACAGGATCACTGGATGTGAAGGTTTCTGATACAAGCAACCACCAGGTAAAATAGATTTTTCATTGAAACCATCCAGTCAGTAGTACAAAGAAAGGGTATGACTTACGCTGAGGTAGATAACAACAACATATATCATACAGATATTTTGTCTTATCACAAGCTGAGTTGTCCTTCGTCTATGGAGGCAAATAATGCCATTGATTTCAAGAAAACTGAAATGTAATGCTCTGAAAAGGGGTCTACATTTTAGCATGAAACAAGACTCTTCTGTCTTTTCTAATAGTGCCATATGAAGTTACGCTAAAGATCTAAGAGTTGTTAATTCATTCCCTGGCAATATTTTAATTGAGTCCTTGTTCAGAAAGTTCAAACCAAACCCACCAACAGTGCAGTCTGATAACAGCATACTGCAGTCTCCACTGCAAGAATGGGAAAGTATTATAGTCATAGCAGAGTATTGGAACTGCTGCCGTGTTAGAGCAGAAGCCTGGAGGTAATACCTATTCAGTGTTAAGACACAGAAGAACAAGTAAGATTCCCCCCAAATTGCAAGCGATTTCTCAGTATCTTGGCACTCCTGGATTTAAAAAATTGGGAATTTAGAGTAAATACAAAAAAAAGGATGAGATATTTCTCCTGGAGGGAGTCTCCCACCTGTGTCGTCTAAAGTCATGCTGACAAGTCATGCACTTCCTGCTATGAGCTGAGTCTTCTGGGAAAGCATCATGTCCCATTCCCTGCTCCTGTATTTGAGATCCATTGAGATTGTCCCATCATGTAGCTCAGCATGGGGTTGTACCTCTGACATGTGATGTGTTGTGCCTTCACATGAGTGGTATAGCTACCTAGGACCTGAAGTAGAACGCTACCCCTTTTTCCCACCTACTGAATATAGCATGCGTGGGGGGGTGGTGTGTTCTTTGCCCAACGTTTGGCTGATTGGGGAAGGTTTCTTGCTCGTAGAAGACTGGCAGAAATTGGATTTTTCACTTTGTTGAGCACTGCATCACCAGTGAAATTGGGTCAGAATGCAAGTCAGGGTAGTGTGTGAGCACTGGGTCTTTCTACTTCTTACAGTAAAATGGTAGATACAAAAGGAACTTCTTTCATAACATTATTTTTAGCAACCTCCTCACTATACTAAGTAGAGACTGATTGAGAGTATAATTAGCCTAATTTGAGCAATTCTCAGCATGGCCTGGCTGTCATTGGTATTGTCACAATTTGGAACAGTACTGGGCTCTTATGAGACCCTTTTCTGTGCAGGTCTCATAATGCAATCAGGAATATTTTCCGGTGTTTGCCAAAAGATGGCACTACACTGTTGTTAAGAACCAATGCTGAATCAGAAAGAAATATATCCACAAAAGTGTTCTGGATGTGGAAGTTAAATTAAGAATCTGTTTGGAGTGTTGAATTGTTCCATTAGATGGAGGATGGAACACTTCAGCCTTTTAAGAAATCTAATGTAAATATTTTTTTCTGTTTATTCAGGTTCACTGCATTTTCCTGCCAATAGGAAACGACAGAACTACAATTCATGTAGTTCTAGTTCCAGAAATTATATTCTGCAGTAATTTCTTAACCTCGCGTTTCCTTCTCACAGGAACAATGAACTGAATTCTTACCATTGCATAGTTGCCATAGAATACAGCCTCACTGCCAAAAGGACAGCAGCACATGCATTTACATACCAGTGCTGGATAAGTTTGGTGGTTGGGGACTCCTAAATAGTATTAGGGTCCAATATTTTCTCTGGTTTTGCTCCAGCTTGGTGTTTATACCATGTCCCTCCTTGTCCATCCTTGGTCTCTTGCTCCTTGTCCTGCCTTTAGCTCCTGGGTGCCCTGTTCCAGTCTTGCCTGTATTTCCTTGTTGGCATGGTGCTAGTTATTCTTAAGCTTGAAATACTTGCTAGCACTCCCTGCCTGCTATGCTCACTACAAACCCAGATGATGGAGGAAATAGAGTGTAGCTCCATAGGGGCAGCCCTGACAGACTCAGTTGCCAGCCCTGTGCTCCCAGCTAGGAATGGATGACCAGTGCTTTAGATGTAGGGATGCTTGTAACCTACCCTGGAGCACATTTTCCAATAACGGCACCCAGGAGCCAAAGCTTCCTTTGCAAAGTCATAGTAATGATTAATTGCTGTTACTATTATACCATAAATGGCACTAATGCTAACAAGAAACTTCCAGCAGAGCAGAAGAGATACAGAAGTTTACCTGAGTTTACAAGTTTAGAAGTTTGTAGTCTCATGTGAAAGTACAGAAGGACTATGCCATCTAGGCATAGGAAGAGAGAAGCTAACTTTGTATTTAGGTTCCTATTGGTTAAAAAGTCTTTAGACACGACTAATAATCTTTTAATACTTAAGATGAGCAGGAGGTTGTACTAGATGACCTCCTGAGTTTTCTTGCAGCTTGAATTATCCTATGATTATATGATGATGCCTACAGCCTCCTAATGCCTTCTAATCAATTCTCTTGATTAGAAATATATTAGTCCCACTTTTACTAGGTGTTTATCTGTCTACCTGGGGAACTTAAATTTCATCAACCTGGGAATAAATGCGTTGTGTAGCAGCTACTGCTAACTCTTTATGCAGTCACCTTTGGTGTTTGGTAGCTTTCTCCCATTAAAAGTGCAGTAAGTTATTGTGCACTTGGTGCTTACTAAGAATGTCTTAATGGCCTTTGCTCCTACAGAGGCATGTAGTTGCATGTCTTGCACTAGAAATTATATCTAAATGCCCTAACGGATCAAGACTTCAGTGTAGCTAGTGAAGTATTAATTTGTACACATTCTTGCTGCACATTAGCTTACTCATGCAGACACCTGTGATTTCTCACAGAAACTGCTGGTAATACTATACTGATTAAGACCAAGTTGAGAATTCATATAAAGAGAAATATTAACATTACCTATTATTTGCTATTATGATAAGAGGAAGCATTCCATATACTGATTTAAATGTTTTAATAAAGACAAACACACATATTTAGGATCTCATAGATAAAGCCTCGCTTTCATCTTGGTTTGGAAAAATCCTTTCTGACTGCTTGCAAAACTGTATTATGTCACAAGAGGGCAGTGTTACAATACATAACAAACTGAGTATGGGCAGTATTTAATACTGAAATGGCTAGTTTGAAAATCATATTCAACTGTTTACAATATACCTGTTTTAAAGAGTTTGACCAGAGCAGATTTCTGTTACTATTAGTTCTGTTCCACTGAGGTGGTAAAATAGCTAGCTGCTGATGATCATGCCATTGAAATGGGACAATACAATTTACAATACAGAGTTCTGACAGGATTACCCATCCAGTACATCCTGAGTGGTGGCTGGTCTGCTTTCTGTACAAATTATTTATGAATTTTCTGGCTATTCAACAATCAAGAAGAGACTGAAGAAGACTTTTTTTTTAAGGTAAAAATGTCACACTATGAATTGCAGAGGTAAGTGTAATGAACTGTTTTGGTCTTGCCTTGACTTGTTTGTAACAAATACCCTGATAAATATTGTACTTAAAAGTCACACAAAGCCTTAGTAAGTCTCCTTCAAAATAAACAGAAAATGCAGCCTGCTTAGAATCTATCGGAAAGAGGTCTTTACCCTCAGTTATGAACAGATTCTTAATTTAATTTTTATTTGCCACTGTTACCTACCAACGTTACAACCGAGGTATACGGTAATAAAAGTTCCTCTTAGAGATATTCCTAGTTTGGTGTTGTCTTAAAAATACTGCTGACTGCCTTGTGTATGTTTAATCTTTGAACTCTATTTTGAAAATAAACAGGTTCTGAAGGCTGACTGTTGGTAATGTCTCAGAATAAAGCTGGGAATAAATGCATTGTGACAAAAGCATCAGTGTGACATCTTTGCCAGATTCTGCAGCATTGTGTTTTACTGAATTAGATTCAGAGCCTTTTACCCCAAATGATTAAGATTTATATTCCTATCTGATAAAACAGGAAGGAATGAAGAGAAGAAAGACAAAGACCAAATAGCAATTTGATCTGCAGTTTTGCTGTAGTCTGCCAGCTGAATCACAGTGTGTGCTGGGGGCTATTGCTAATTTATCTTGCCTCTGTTTTGGTGGATTTTTTTTAAGCTGATCAGATTTTAAAAACAGACCAAACTGAACACAGGGCATTGACTTTACAAACAATTAGCCTTTTTTAGAAAAGCTTTAAAGGAGGAGCTGTGGGTGCCTGCGTGTTACAGCAGTGTCAGTTGTAGGAAGATGCAGAGGGCTGGGGATCAAAAGCCAAATAAGTTAGTGGGGTTGCTGAGAAGAATGACTGTGAGGAGAGAGGTTCAGATGTCCACGTAAGAAAGGGAAGAATTTCCTGGCTGTTTGAAACTGAGGACAAAGGAGGTATGTGATAAGATGAAGTGGAAACAAGGAAAGGGATTTAAACAGGGCAGTCCTTGCAATACTGCTTTCTGCATGTAAATGCCATTATGTATGCATGTAAATAGCCATTATGTATTTTGGAGATAACCTATGTGAAGTTGCAACGTAAGTTTGTACTGTAGTCTGTAGTGTAGTGTAAATATGCCCAAGCTAGCTTTAAATTATTTAGTTTGAGCATGAGAACTGTTCTACCTATTTTAACAGAGAGATTGGCATGGACTAATGTACTCAGCTGAGAAGCAGGGTGTGTTGGCCCATGCTGAGCTCCACAGTGTCGTGGTTGTACTAATTTTGGTTTTGAACTTAGCTTATTGAAAGTTAATATAGAAAAATCATTTCAATTCTGTCTGCCAGGTAACCTAGCAAAAAGTACAAGACATTGCAGGTAGTTTTTAGAGCATCAGATAGAAAGGTATGGAAATAATGAATGTTATTACAGTACAATTAATCTGATCTGTAAATATTTTAATTAGGAACTAGAAGAGAAGTTGGTCGCAGTCTTTCTAGAAGCATAATGCCTCCTTTAAGCAAATTACCTTGTCCTGTGTAAAGAGGATGGCCTAACATATGTTGGCAAACTGCAGTTCTAGTGTGAGAAGATATTTCTATGTTATCTTTAAAAGTAGTTTGATAAGGACTTCCTATCTGAATGGCTGAAACATACTCCAGTGGAGGTAATGGACCAGGAAAATCACTTCATAGAGCAAATAGTTTACTTTCATGTGTATCTTTTGGTTTCTCTGTTATAAAAGGAAATTTCTGCTGAGAACAAACTGAACTGTGTCGAAGTAATAATAAGCAAACTTTTCAAAATGCCAGCTTTTGCAGATCTCCAATTAAACATGGAGATGGTATCGAGTCCTGGAGGGACACAGGTGCAGACGTGAGTTAAAGGTACAAGGTGTGGGAAAATGATGAAATTAAAACCAAACTAGCTACATCAACTCCCTTATAAACTCAAAATATTGAATAAACTAAAATTTCAAAGAAAAGTGCCCAATCCCTTTCAACCTAGTACTTATAATTTTTTTTCCTATTTTCTTCATTTCTCTTTCAGACCCCATGATTTTGTATACACACAGTACAAAAATTCTATTTGCCAGGTTGGAAAATAGAAGGTGTCACAAGTCAGGGAGGAATATGCAGGGATGTGTCTTGTGATGGTGGGGGAGGGAATAAGGCAGAGCCTTTTTTCTGATGTTCATCCATTCCATAGAATGGTCTTACAGATTCAATAATGTTTTAGATTGATGGGGGGGTGAGGTTTAACAACTCTTTCACTGCATGTGTCTCACTTGCCAGTGAGAGTCAGTGAAACTGAATACACAAACAGCCTCTGATTTGAACGCTACCATTTTACAGTGTGTTCAGAGGACAGATAGCAATGGAAACAATCTCATCTTTCTAAGTCTTTAATACTGCCTTTTAAATGGCTGTGTGAATTTTAGCTGGTTACCAGCAGCTAGAACCCCCTGCTGCTTCTGGGATTGCAGAGGGGAACAGCAAACTGAGTTTTGAGCTGCCAGCAATCCTCCTGACATCTACACTGAACAGCAGGAGATTCTTGAGTGTAAGGTTAACAGGCGTAATAGGAAACACACACCTGATTCCCCAGGCGGCTGGAAATGTATAAACAAGGGGCAGAGAGAAAATGGGGCTCTGAAGTCTTGAAGAAGACAGATGGGCTTGCTCCCTAGCTGGCTGCAAAATTGCGTTCTATGGAGAGGAATGATGGCTGGGGAAAAAACCTGAAAGAACTTTCACCTGATAGAAGCCTGGACTTTTCTTTAATGAACATAGATAGGACCATTCCAGCTCTTTGACTTAACACCCCACAATGTTAATTTCTTTCTCAGGCTGAACAGCTGCCTCATCAGAAGTTATTTTAGAAATTGGTTCCTTAACCAACACTGTTCCTTTTCTCTTCTTCTCTATTCTGTCTTTAAAGATATATTCTTTAGGGTTGTAGAGAATCAAAAAAGGTGAAGCGTTTCAAAGGAGTTTATTTTTTTGGAGGGAGTGTAGGGAGCGAGAAAGAAGTTGGAAGATGTAAATAGTGCTTATGATCCACCTAATGGAAAAGTTTCTTTTTCTACCAGGCTATTTGGTTATTCTGCCCTAAACAGAGATCTTTTATCTGAACTGTCTAAATAAAGTTGAGAATAATGTATTGGAGACCCGGAGATGAAATTTTGTGTGAGCAGCAGGCACGTTTTCTTTGTAGCTCCTTTGAGTGCAATTGTGGATATGGTAGCATGCATGTAGTGTTTCAGCTTTGAAAGGTAAGCGTGTTAAGGCAGAACTTTAGCATATAGCCTGTATTAAAGACTTCTATTTAGGTGCCTAGGTCCTCATTCCCAAATATTCTTTCATTTAAACAGTGCCTGTTCATATTTGCCTTCCTTGAAAATTTATTTCTGACAGTTGGTAAATTGTTCCTAGATCTTCTCTAAGACATAATTGATTTTGTTTTCCTGAACACATAATTTTATATGGTAATATCTGTGCAAAAGCAATTTGCTATGGTTCAGGGAACTGGACTATTATGGGCATTTGTCTTTGTAATGCAATTACAAAGCTACTAACTTGATCTTAATAACATTTGCCTATTACCACTTGTTAGATGCATGAAAGGAAAACAATGCAATTTTAAACACAGAAAATGATGCTGAAATATGCTCGTGCATCTCTCCTGGATTATCAGCCACAGGGATGTAGCAGATGGGATGACAACATTTTCTGCTTTTATTTCACGAATCCTACATTTTAGAATTAAACTATATTTCTAATGTGTTGAGTAAAATTAACATGTGTTTTTATATGTTTATGCGTATTTGTCTGTGTGCCTGTATGATTTTCTTAGTAAAGTGGAGTTTGTATCTGTTTAAATTTTTAATGCTATTGCTGTTTTTTTTTAATTACTCAAAAGACAGTCAGTTAAAGACCAACTTAGAAAGAGACATAGATAAGTGTTCAGCTTCAAGCCTGTGCTCAGGAACATAGCAACTTGTAAGCCTAAAATGGAACATGTGCCTAAATATCTTGATTCAGCAAGTTACTTAATTTTGAGTACTCTAATTTTTTGTCTGCAGTAGCTCATAATTTGTATTGGAACTATTACAGAGAGGTCCCTGGCCAAGGGGGATTGATTTAGACATCTTTCCATCACATGAATGGCATGTGCTTACATAGACTCTTTTGAAGTGGACTTTACTGCATGTTTGGGACCATCCTGAATACTCTATTCCAGGTTGTTTTGGACTTTTAATTGTTTTCTTGAAATCCCCGACTTACGTGAAAAGAATATTTTTTTTTTTTTAGTCTGGTACTTAATTGGCAGGCATCCATTAACAATTGAGAGATTTACTGGCATTTTCAACAGAAGGGCCAAGAATTGATTAAACTCTACGACTGCATTGCGCACAGACCTTGTACAATAGAGAAATGCATTATAAGTACAAGAGGATATTATAATTACTGAGAAAAGATAACAGTCAAATTTTCTTTCTGATTAGGGTAGCCTATATAGGGCAGAAATTTATATTCCAAGATTGCATTTCTGATGCTAGTTATCTTCTGATCACCTATGACATTTCTAAAGGATCTCATCATCACAACAGTCTTTAGAGGTAGATGAACAGAGATCATAACGTTCTTCCAAAGGTGAAGATGACTCTTGTGTTCTCTGCTTTGCAGACAGAAATGTCTAATTCAACTGATGGTCATAGAAAACAGAAGTCCTACTTACTTCCACATTGAGGCTTTCTGTGTTGTTAATCAGTATATTGATTTTTTTGTTGGCACTTTTAATTAATTTTCTTTTAAAGCAAATTGCTGAAGAATCTTAAGGCGGTGCTGTTAGTAAATGTGACATAAAGACTCTTAAAACATCCTGGAATATTTAATATGTGTCCTTTTATTTTTAATTCAAAGGATGCTGTGACAATATGCACTCTGGGAATAGGAACTGCTTTTGGAGAGTCCATTCTGGATAACACTCCTCGCCATGCTACCATCGTTACCAGAGAATATAGTGAGCTCCTTCGAATTGAGCAGAAGGACTTCAAAGCACTTTGGGAGGTAAATTCAGATTTATTTGCAGTTTATACAGAAAAAAGTGATTTAAGCACATTTATACTGTAAGCAAAGTAATAACTCTTTAAATTAGTTTGGACAAAAAGAAAAGTCTTTTCACTTCTTTTCAGTGCTTCATACTCTGCATGATTACATACTCCTGTATTTCTTTCTTGCGGGCTTCTTCTAATGAAATAACTTAGGTGAAATTTCTGGTGGGATTTATTTGTATACTGCAGGTGTTGCTTTCTTAGTCTTAAACTTGCTTTTATTGCCAGCGTTTATGAGGAGAGTTTGTCATTAATATATTCTGATATTTTAAATTATTCTCCTTTACTCCTGTCTCATCACCAGCTGTAAGGGGTTTAGAATTTGCAGATGGATCAAGATCACTTAAAAATTAAGTTACTGATTACATGTGAATTCTCTTAAAACTTTCCCTTGTGGAGAACGTACTGCTGAAGTTCTTCAGTCTATAACCTGTGTGTACTTTGGTATCCATGCTGAGGAGACTTCATTAACATGTTACTGTGCTAAGTTACTGAACTTTAATCAGCTTGCATTTTTGTAAGCATTACACTCGATTTGAAAAGTGTTCTGGGAATTGGAAGGCATCCTGTTGGCCTGGCCTACACTATTGCCAATTTGTACTGCCAGCTTGTTTTAAATGGTGACTATACAAATTTAGGTGTTGTGTAGAGCTGTCGGATGGTGTAAAGTTGCAGATCTAGGGACACTAACTATATTTAAGAAATAAATGCTGGTTGTAGCATTTTAGTTCAGCTTCTCTCCTAAGTGCAGACAGATGGGGATTTTTGGATTTCTCTTTTCCTGAGAAAGAGCAAGTATTATACTCCAAGTAATTGTCCTAAAGCAGTACTAAAGTAAGGGTATCAGAAAGAAAATCAAATCCACAACTAGCTACACTGACTGAGGAAACAGCACTAATATCATCTGTCTGCAACTATGTTGTCTTGAACATAGTTAATGGTGCAGCATGACTAAGGCATGAAAGACCAATGTGTGAATGAAACGTGCTTGCCATGGAATGCTCTGACAATATCAGATTTCATTCTTTGAATTGCATAGCCATAATTTGTACTGTTTTTTTGGCAATGTCTACAGCTAAAATAAAATGCTCATAAAGTCTCATAGCAAATTTGAAGAAATTCACAATGCAATATTTTTCTGCAGTTCAAGCTTTTTTCTCTACAGGAGCTGCATTATAATTTTAGACCCTGGCATTAAAAGATTAAATATGCCAGTGGTCTCATCTGTTTTAACATATGCTACACTTGCCAGTGGTCAGAAATTTTTAATATAGATAGTGCTTTACAAGCTCATGATGGAGGAGAATAAATCCAATTGTAGGTTTCTCAAGTAACATTTTTTTTTAATTCACTTTTAATTGGTATAAGCTGAGTAATTTCTGCTATGTATGTGACTTTCCTGCTATGCAATCAGAAATTTCTGGTTTCCTATCAGAAATATTGGGGGAGTGAAGGTTAAGTTCCCTTCTTAAAAATTTTGAACCTTAAAATAGATTTAAGTTGTTTTAAAACAAAAATGCCGATGTCATTTGCTCTTTAATCACTGATACAATGTTGTTTCTAACCCTTTTGCTGATTTTGATGAGTTTTTTGATGATAGATGCTTTTGGAAAAGGTCACGTGTGTTGAAAGTATTGGGAGCTATCATAGGGAGCCTTAGAACACATCTTGTATATTGCAGATTTTATGAAATTGTGCAATAGAGCATGTCACAGATGCTGCAGGTATCGGTCACAGACGACAGTTTAGCTTTGTGGTACTTCTTTGCCTTTTGTGCAGTTTTACAGTAAACTTTTCATGTATTTGGTGTTCTTTCTTTCAAGGAGGCTATCCCTGTGCTCTTACTGAGTCGAAAATTATGCCACAAAATATAGTTGCTGGTTAGTCTGAGGTAGAATTAAGTTGTTCATTTTTTCAAGGCAATATTTATTTCCTTGCAATCTACTAATCCCAAAGCTTACATAAACTGCAGCTAATGTATGATAAACAGAGAATGTTGAAAACAGACAGAAAATTATTTAAGGAAATTCCCCCCAAATATATGAGCAATAGTAGCAGTAGTATGTTATTATTATTATTATCTGAAGAAAAGTAAATACTTTTCTTCAGGGAAACTTCTTGTTGTTTATTATCAGTGGTACCATGGGAAAAATGGGAGAAGGCAACAATGTCAGTGTGATTACAATCCAAATATGGTAAAAACTAAAATCTAGTGCATACAAATTTCAACTCTCCAGATAATGAGAATTTAATTCCAGAAAATAGTTTCTCCATTAAAAAAAAAGTTGAATAATTCCAAAATAATATAATAATGTAATTTAAGAACAACCTAAATAAACCGTAGGGTTGAAATTCTTAAAATGGTTACTGCTTTTATGAATGTAGGATTTTTATGATTAATAATAGAAGTGCAAAAAATACATTTCATATATCATTAAGTTTTTTGTTTGTTTGGGCTTTTTTCCCCATGAAATTTACTTTTGGGGAAATTTACTTTTTTCCTTCTTTTGAGGGAAAGAACAAATGAAAACTCTCTGGTAGCTGATTAAAGATTTTTGACATACAGAGCATGGAAATTCCAAGACTGCAGTTTTTAATATTCTATTTTATTTTTAGGTTATGAATATAATCTTGGAAAATGAACCAGCATAAATTGATTCAGTATTGACTTTAATTTATTGTGCAACTAATCTGAAATGATAGGACTAAGAGCTATGGACTATCTTCCTTTATAGTAAAAATTTGTTAACACTGAAGCCTACTGATGAAGTTCATGTTTGCAACATATGTTTTTCTATCACAAATCTATGCAGTTCTTTGAAAGACAAATAAATATCCATTTATGTTGCTTATGAAACTTTTAGTATAAATTCTGAAACTAGATTTTAAGAGAGAAAGATATAATACCTATTTTAGTTATTTCTAAGTTTAGAAAGAATTTTCAGAATCTCTAAAATTTCATATTATGAATTTACAGATTTTTCTGAGTTTTGTTTAAATTGAAAAGTAACTTTTCCTGTATTAGCTGTATGGCTCTAAGAAACAATTATATTGATAGAATGTTTCACAGACCAGATGTGGCTTATTAACATATTTAATGCACAATATACAGCAAAGTGTATTAATTTCTTTAAGTACAATTACAATTGCATCTATACCTGAAAGAAAGAGATTGCTTCTTCTAAACAGACTTTTTTCTTTTTTATCACTACTCTTCTGTTAGTTTTATAAATATAAATACTCTTTGAGGAAAAGATAGGATATTCTTTATCAAAAATACAATACAATTCCTTCTGTAATACACAGAACCACGTATTCAGTCAACCCTTTAAATACGGAAAGATTTTCTATGACCTCCATTTTTAACAATCAGGGAATGCTGGTCAAAACAAATGATATTGTCCTGATAACAACAATTACCAGTTAAAATGGCCTAGTCTTTTCTCAAATGACTATATCTGTTGACGTAGCATCCTGTTTGGGAGCATCTGTTGAACTTCTAAGCTTACTCATCCTTGGAGACTTGTTTTCTATCAATGGCTGCTATAGCAGATTGGAGATGATGAACTCTCTGGTTAGGTTCTCACACAGCTGAACACTGTTGCCTGATGAAGAAGCTCTAGGAGGTTATGGGAATCACTGGTGACATGCCTTTGTGCACCAATTGTCCCTGGCCGCCTTCTCTGAGGAGCACTAACAAACATGAAAAAAGTTATTCATCACTCTTGCAACACTGTAGACTTTCAAGATGCTCTATGAATGTGTAGGATGAAGTACTCTTTGTGTTGATAAGAACTCGCTTTCCCTTTTTAGCATCAATGAGTTAGTGTGGTGCTAGCTACCTTGCCCAAAAAAACGTTTCAAAGCACAAAGGAAAATACATCCAAAAATAAACATGAAAGCAGAAGGCTACACACGAGGAGCTCTGGTCATGCACATCCTGTTGGGTCACTGGCTTGCTCCACCCCTAATAGTTGGATTCTTTTAAGCAGAATGAAATGAATGTATTTGAGCCGTGTTATCATTACGGAAGTTCTCTGTAGTTCATCTTGAAGCTTTGTCCTTTCATATCATACAGTTGCAAACTGATTCAAACCCAGACAGGAAGGGAGTGAATCTGCTGAGAAGTGACTTATTTTTAGAGGTCTTTCCTACCACAGTGAATTACTCAGCCTTCCTTGGATAACATACAAATAACCAATTTCTTTTTGTGTGGAATAAGATTATGTTAGAAGTTACTGAACATGCCTGGAGAAACATTTGATCTTGAGTAAATGAAGAACAGCTATTACTTCGGTATGCAGTAACTTTGGAGAGAGGGAGTCTTGGCCCCTATAAGGTCAGAATGAATATTTTAATTCTTTTTAATTCCTATTAAGCAGCACGTACACATCTTGTAGTCTGATAAACAGGAGCATAACTTGCTTCCTGCTTTTGCCCATGTGATGATAATTCAGTAGCCCGCAGCAGACTTCACTGCTCTGAAATGATAGCTTTGGGAGAAGCAGCTTTCTTACCGTCTTTGTTTTCTGAACACTGTGAACGTTAGTTTTCAATGAGCTAGTTTAAAAACAGATCCTTTGTCAGAACAGAAGAAATTTCACATACAGTTTCAATGGAATGCTGTGTAGGAAATACACATATGAAATGGCATGCTGACTTAAATGTTATAGCACTGTTCAGTGAGATTTCTGAATAAGGCTTAAGTTCATCAGAATTGAGACCATAGCTCTCAGTGCATTTGCGTGTAATATCAGTTTGTCTTTTTAAGGAATATCTAATCATGTCCCTTCTATCAAGATATAATACAATCTTATGCCTCATTTTATGTGTCAGGATTATGGCAGTAGGAATTACGAAGGCACTGTAAAAATACATTAATGAAAATGAACATGTAAGGATTTTAATGTGTTTTATCCATTTGGCCCTGCTGTAAGTACATTATTTATCAAAGCA